GGCCAATCACAACGCACTGGACAGCTGGCCAATCAGAGCACACCTTTAACACTAGCATTCTCTGTTCTTTCTTTCTACATATTTTCTTTTTATTTATTATAAATACTGACCTTCTAACACTAGCATTCCCTATACTTTTTCTATTCAATCTACTTGTTTTGTTTTTATTTATTATAAAAACAAAACAAGCAAACAAACACTGTCCTCTTTTTGGAAAACTAAAATATGGTCACCCTACTTTAGGCTCACTAAGTGAGTTTGTTTTCTGTTTGAATATAATTTAAAATGTAATTTATTCCTGTGATGTCAAAGCTGAATTTTCAGCATCATTACTCCAGTCTTCAGTGTCACATGCTCCTTCAGAAATCATTCTAATATGCTAATTTGGTGCTAAAGAAAGATTTATTATTATTATCAATGTTGAAAACAGTTGTGCTGCATAATATTTTTGTGAAAACTGTTTTTTTTCCCCAGAATTGTTTGATGAACAGAAAGTTCTAAAGAACAGCATTTACTTGAAACAAAAACCTTTTGTGAAATTATAAATGTCTTTACTGTACTTTTGATCAATTTAATGCATCCTTGCTGAATAAAAGTATTAATTTCATTTAGAAAAAAACTGTTGTTGCTACCAAAATTCTGGAACAGCATTTGCGTTGGAGAGCACCTATGACAGCATTGACACCTATTTCAGGCATTCCAAAACCTAGTGAATTCAGGTCCAAACTAAAACTGATCTTACCCAGAAGAGAAGAATCCTGGGAAGTTGCTGACAGGTCCAGTGAGTTTGGCCGCTCAGGCCTCCTGGGCTTATGCCGTCTCAGAGGAACCCCATCATCCCTTCCATCTGGTGCCCCCGGAGGGCAGGTTAATGTCTCCATCGGGGCGTCTACAGGAGCTAAGGTACGAATCGTGGCGGTTGTGTGGATGTTGCTGTTGTTGTTATTGGAGTTGGTGCGACCGGAGTGATCGTGTGCCGCTGACTGCTCTCTCCTCAACAGGGGCTCGTGTTCATCGGGACTGGAGTTGATGTTGATGTTGAGGCGGCTGTCTTCTCCACTCAGCTGGCTCTGGAGCAGAGGTGCACCACCGTCGCCATGCGGCCCGGCTGGGTTGGTGTTCCCAAATGCATCAGAGGAGCCAGCGCCACTGCCCCCACCATATCCATTAACAACGACCACTCCAACGCCGCTACGGACACTGGGCCCATTGTTAGTGACGGCGACCAAGTGTGGCTCGACTGTCACTACAGTGTTCATCTTGGCCAAGCCCGTCTCCACCTGCTTCAGGTTGGATTTGTGCTTGCCAAACTTCAACCGTGACGACGAAGACTCCCTGCCAGAATTTTTGGTGTTGAGGGGCAAGCTGGTGGGCCGCTTGGGGAGATTCTGCTGTTTGGGAAGAGGGAATATGGCTGTAGGAGTGTCGCCCATTCCACTGCCGCCCACCCCGAAATCAGCCTGGCTGCCAGTTCCTGATCCTCCAGTCACTTCTGCGGCGAGTTTGATCAGCGGGTACAAGAGGCTGGAGCTGCCTGAGCTGAGTGGGTCAGGAGCGCTGAACTGCTTCTGCGAATGCTCCATCAGGTTCTCATCAGAGCTTTCTTTCAGGTTCTTATCCACCTCCTTGGGGTCCAGTTTGGTGGTCTCCAGGTCCTCTTCTGTGAGCTGAAGGCACACTGGTACGCTTCCTCCGGCTCCGGCCTCCTCCGAGTGGCCTGACTCAGAGATGGTGGTCATGATGGTGCTGGGCGTGAGGCCCGTTGTGGTGGTTGTGGCGGACAGACTCGTGCCGCTGGTCTCTGGACTGGGCAGCCTAGCTTGGGCCTGAGCCTGCTGTCTCTCGTAGTTGATAGAGTTTCTGTTCTTCTCTCCCGTCACCGCCACGCCGCCGCTGATGCCGCTCACGCCCATGCCACCCACAGAGGACGTGCCAGACGTGGAGACGTCGCCTGGGAGGTTCTTCACCATGCCCTCATGATCCTCGATGTAAGAGGATGAAGAGTAATCTGGATAAGAGCCCATCTTGGGAGCCCTGCGACTGTGGGTGAGATTCCTACAAGAACAGAGAGAGAACAGGGGTCAAAACGGAGAACAGATGGTCCATTTAATTAAAGGTGCTGTAAATATCAGATAATGTACAGGTCATTATCACAAAATAAACCCTGAGAGGGTGATCAGGAGCCCATCAACAATGACCCTGAAGGGGTTTATTTTGTTATATTTGCTGGCTGACAGTACATTATCCCACTTAGTAAATGGCTATTAACCAAATAATAAAGCATGTAAAAAAAAAAAATATATATATATATAATAACATTATTATAATATTATATAATATTTTACGAATTATGTTTATATCTTACATATACCCTAAAGAATAAATGACCCTTATTATGTCATATTTGTATATTATTATTTATTATATTATTTTGCAAAAAAAAAAAAAAGTCTGGCTGACAGTAAATTATCCATCCCACTTATTATACCCAGCTACATTATCTATGAATTATAATGTATATTTATTAAAAACAATTATATATTTGCTGGTTGATAGTACATTATCCCACTAATTACACGGCTGTTAACTTAAAAAATAAGCCTTGCTTTTTTATATAATAACATTATTATAATATTATATTATATTTTAGGAATTATGTTCATACCTTACATACTCTAAAGAATAAATGACCCTTATTTTGTAATATTTTGTATATTATTATTTATGATACTATTTTGTAAAAAAGAAAAGTATCAGTAAAGATTACAGTAAGATTATTTCACTTATTATACCTAGCTACATTATCTATGAATTATAATGTATATTTATTTAAAAATAATTAAATATATAAACAATTTTAGATTTTTTTGTACTTCACATTTATTAGTTTAAAGATTTTGCTGTGAGTAATATATTTTGTTTCAGTACACCTAATTCAGTAAAATATGTAAGACATCAGGCAAAGTTTCAATGATAAATTGCTTACAGCTCCTTCACATTATTTAGAAAAGGCCGAGAGCATGGCAAAAAAAAAAAGCCCAGACAAGAATAATTAAGTGTGTAATAAGCATACTTTCCCCTCATTTATTCATGAGCTGGTCAGGAGTGACTGTGAGAGTGTGTGAGGTGTGGTCAGACCTCTCGTTCTGCAGCGCTGTGCTCATGGGATTGATGGTGGGGCTGACGGGTTTGTTTCTTTCCCAGATCAGCAGCAGTTCTGCCATACGCTCTTCTGCACACTGCGCTGTCAGACGAGCCTCTGCATCCTGATCCCAGCAATCCTCCATAGTCTCCTTGAGGGAGCGCACGGCCTAGGAGAGAGGAGAGTGAATGTCAAAAACACATAGATAATAAAATTACTGCGTTGGTTGCCACTACATTGTTATGTGCTCATCATGTTCGATTTAATCATGTTTTAATCGCTTGAGATTCTGTGGTAAACACAATATACTGCAAAGACCAGCATATAATGTGCTGGTGTCTCCAACAGGAACAGGATGGTTAACTAGCCTAACCAGTAAACTTCCTAGGTTGACCAGGTTCACCAAATGAAACTAATTCAGCCTGTTCAACAGCAGTCAACAGCTTGGTTGGCCAGTATCAACCGGCTCCGACTTCATGGTCTTTTCAGCAGAGTGAAAATGCACAGAATATAAGACGTCTTCTATGTTGTTCCACTTTTATATGATTCGGATAACAGAACAACAAAAAGAACTGTATTAACTGAAGTGAGTGAAGAGCTGGGAAAGAGCTTCAGCTGATCATTCAGCAATAATCTGACCACTTTCTGTCACAAGAACAGAATGAGATTGTCTCAGTGACTCACCAGGCTGTTCTCCTTCCAAGCTTCTGGAAACTTGGGTCTCTGTTTCTCTCTGGACACCAGCACCTGCATGTCCTCAAAGGACGGGTGGTTCCCTGCCTCGGCCTGGAAGGCCATCTGGTAATCTGGCACTGCCTCCCCTTCAAAAAAAAACAAAGGAAAGTCAGTCAGTAGAGACCTCCATACGCCTGCACTCACTACAATTAACTGAAAAATACTCAATGAGATGAGGCACACTCATATTTCATGAACATAATGAGCAGGATACAACACAGTCTTTGTTGTAACCCAGTGGTGTAGCCTAGTGGTTATGGACGTAAGGGGTTGAGCCTAGGGATGGGTCAAGATGCTCAACAAGATACCCACCCACCAGATGGCCAGTTTTTTTTGACAGGGATGAAGTAAGAAACAACTTCTCTGAGAGGATGCTGTTACACTCTCTACAGAAGTTTCACCTCTAAATTCAGCCCAAACCCCAAAGTCTCTCCGCTACCATCATCAAAGCACTGCTTTTGTAAAAAAAGAAAAATCCTCTTTCAATGAAAAATATCAAGACAATTACAGTCGGACTTCAAATGTCAGACTTCCTGCTGTGAGCAATGTTCCTAGTATGCATAATCCATAAGTCACTGTGTGAGGAGAACAATCATTTTGTGCTATAAAAGGTTATATTGTACATCTTTCATGTAATAAAAAGGTGGAGGAGCTTTGTTTTGGGAGGTTCATTAAACCATGCTTATACCATGGAAACATGTTAGCATTGACAACTTGAAGCTGTCATTTATAAAAACGAATAAAATAAATAAAAATGTACTTTCTCTAACTAAAAATAAGAATGACAATAAGAAATGCTTTTTTAACGCAAAACCATCATATTAGAATGATTTCTGAAGGATCATGTGAAATTCCTCTTAGCCATCATACTGTATGCTTAAAACAAGACAAAGCACTATCTACAAATGTTTTTTTTTTTTTTTTTTTAATATTACTATATTTTTAAATATTATTATATTTTTTTTAAATAAAATATTAAAAAGACATTAAAAAGGGCTTAGTATCTTTTTCAGACATTCTTATAAAAAAAAAATAAAGTTAAGATAATGACTTTGTCTTAACCTAATTTTAACACCACTGAAACTAGTTGACGTTACATGCTACAGCCAGTTCTACTTAGCCAGCAGTATATCCACATCCTTGCTGTTGTTTGTGCAGAGCTGTGGTCCTCACCTGGAAAAAGGTCAGTGCATCTCATGAAGGTCTCCCAGTAGATAAGGCCGATGGCGTACATGTCCACCTGTTTCAAAGCCGATTCGCAGTCCCTGAGGTTCACTGCTCCCTCCAGCACTTCCGGCGCCATGTAGCGGATTGTGCCCACCTAGTCAGCAGAGCAGTACAGGTGTGAGGGGAAACGTGCTCTTTTGGTGGGTCTGGATCAGCAATTCTGGACACTTCCAACTACCAACATGACCATAACTGGGTCATGTGCACTAATAATGATATACTGTTATAATATTCCAGTCAAGCGAGTGCTTATGGGCTGACCTCACTGATGGCGGCGTTTTCCTCTTCACCAGGCCGTACGAGGCGATTTCCCGTCAGTTTCATGGACAGGCCAAAGTCACTGATCACACACGTGCCGTCGTTTTTCACCAGAACATTACGGCTGTTTAGATCCCGGTGTGAAACGGCAGGTTTATATAAATCTGTAACAGAAAGATCATGTTAGAAGAGTTTTAGTAACTGTGGAGTCACAGACAGTGAACCTAAAGACTGGATGTTGAAAATTCAGCTTTGCCATCATGAAATAAATAACATTTTGAAACAGATTAAAATAGAAAGCCGTTATTATGAATTGTAATAATATTTCACTGTTTTTACTGTATTTTTGATCAAACACAGCCTTAGATTAAGGTCGGAAAGTTTTTTTATTAATATTTTGTAAATTAGTCTTTTATGGTCGCTTATTTTAAAATCATTAAGAAATCTTACCAACACCAAACGTTTAAATGATATTTTATTCATATACGTTGTTAGTGGACAAATGAAATAAATTAGTGAATGTTAAAAGTGATTTTAACTGTCCCTGGACCACAAAACCAGTCATAAGGGTCAATTTTCTGAACATCTTCTGAAACTGAATAAATAAGCTTTCCATTGATGTAAGGTTTGTTAGGATAGGACAATATTTGGTCGAGATACAACTATTTGAGGATCTGTAGTCTGAGGGTGAAAAAATAAAAATATTGAGTAAATAGCATTTGAAGTTGTCCAAATGAAGTCCTTAGCAATGCATATTACCAATCAAAAATTAAGTTTTGATATATTTACAGTAGGAAATTTACAAAATATCTTCATGGAACATGATCTTTACTTAATATCCTAATAATTTTTGGCATAAAAGAAAAATTTATCATTTTGACCCATACAATGTATTCATAGCTTTCAGTCACGTGACCGGCTCGAAGACCTGGAGGGCAAAACATCCATAGAACAGCAGGACAAGCCTGTCAATTTTCCATCTGTTTCACAGCTGCAAATATTTAGATCACCTCTCAAAAGAATAAAACAAAGTTATGTGAACAAAATGCAAGTTTTGGCCAATTGCAATCCATATTAAGCACCCGCGGCAATATTTAAATCATTAAACAGTCACAAAACGTTGTAAAAACGCTTAAAGTGCCTTAATATATTTAAAACAGTAATATTCTCTATATTAATGATGCATAGTTTACATAGGCAAGCAGAAGAGGCCGGAATATGAACGCAATCCGCTTAATGGTTCAGTGTTTTCCTTCGAAAGGTTTTCTATGGGAAACCATTTAACGTGAAACTTTACACATTGCGTTTATATTCTGGCTTCATCTGCTTGCCTATACAAAATATACACAATCAATAAGGTGTTTACTGAATTTTTTCCTTTTAATATCTGCGTTTTACTACATTACTACTTAATGCAAACTGCGTAAAAATAACTGGCGGTCAGTGGAGCAAAGCTTCGTTTTGCCCTCCAGGTGGGCGTTCCTATAAGGGTGTGACGTCACGTGAAAACTATCAATTGATGGCTATTGCTACAAATATACCTGTGTTTGTGACTTCTGACTGGTTTTGTGGTCCAGGGTCACATATTGTTTTTGGGAAGTCTTTACAAACCACTTGCACAACACAGCCAGCAGAGGGCGCTGAGAGAAGCAGATGATGTGAGTAATAGTTTCAGGAGTAATAGTTTCTCTCCCAGTCCTTCCCCCATCCTCCACACGCATGCTGCCTGTCTGGCTCTAAAGTTCAGCCAGTAATGAGGGCAGCGGCTGAGCAATCTGAAGCACGACTGTACGGAGATCAGCTCGTAATGACGACATACGCAGGAAGCTGGTGAACGGCTGCTCTGAGATCAGTTCGTAATGAGGGTAGGGTCAGAGACAGCCGAGTGGGAAATGAACTCGAGGTCTGATGAGCTGCAGATTGTCTGCAGACCTCTGGCGATGCTCCAGCAGCACCCAGAGAAACATGAGGAGCGCGACGCACAAATTAGCCGAGTGTTATCTCTTTTGCACTGCACGCTGGCCCTTTAAGGGCCAACGGAAGAGCCAAAGACTCAATTAGACCAAAAAAATAAAACACTGATCACTTTGTTTTCATGCTGAATTGAAAACCAGCTTCCATGGAAAACGTCTCGGGTAACCGTCATATTTCAAACTGTCCATCTTAATCTCATTTTTTTAATTTAAGAAGCTTTTTCCAGCCAAGAAACTCCAGCGACTCTGCATTCTTAACTATACGCCGTCGTTCTGTTAAACACAAAGACACATCGTAAAAAATGAATAGCGTCTCATTCATCGTACAGAAAACATTCTGTCTGACCCAGATGTGCAGATTAGAGAAGGCAGCTTCTATGTGACGCAGCCGAGCAGTCAACTGGCTCTTTTGCGTGGATTCGCACAGCTTTTTTTTAACCCATGTGGTTAGACACATTCCTGCTGAGCTATGGAGGTATAAGGCAGCTAAAAGCATAAGAGTGTTGTGTCTACAGCACTCAAGAACCATTCACCGAAGAAACAAGTGGAAGAAAGCACATACAGAAAACCAGAACAACAGAACATTCACCTTGCTCAATACTGTATTCAGCCTCTATTTTTCTTCTACACGACTTTATTAAAATGCTTGTCATATATCTTATGAACACATCTGCACCTCCAGGGTATGTTATGATTTATATCTCCCACCAGACTTCTGCTAAATTATATGCCAATCAGACTCACACAGCAAAGTCTGTTGACATCGAAATGGAAAGATAAGTACTTGCTTCTTATTTGAAGATTTGAAGTCAGACATCAAATGGCTGTTAAGGGAATTCTGAATAGCGATGAATCTGTGATCATCTTTAAAGTCTCCTAGTGGTCAGATGACTCATGTTCATATGTTCAAACTGCAAGCTGGTGCGAAACTTAAAAGGCTTCTGTTAGGATTTATTTCTCCCATGAGACTTTGCTAATTTCTATGCCCATCACACCTGTAGTGAATCAGCCACCACTAGCAGAAACAAACTGAATTGCAATGTTCTTGGATTGAAATCTTAAGTATATACACTACTGTTGAAAAGTTTGGGGCAAGATTTTTGTTTGTTTGTTTGTTTTTGAGAGAAGTCTCTTATATGCACTAAGGCTGCATTTATTTGATCAAAAATACAATAAAATTGTACCGTAATATTGTTACATTTTATTACTATTTTAATATACTTTAAAATGTAATTTATTCCTATGATGACAAAGCTTAATTTTCTTCATAATTACTCCAGTCTTCAGTGTCACATGATCCTTCAGAAATCATTCTACTATGCTGATTTTATATTTTTGGAAACCATATTTTCAGGATTCTTGATGAATGGAAAGTTAAAAACATTAATATTTATTAATTTAGTAGATTCTTTTATCCAAAGCAACTTACAAAACTGCATTTATTTGAAAGAAATATTTTTAACATTATAAATATATTCATTGTCACGTTTGATCAATTTAATGCATCCCTGCTTGATGTATGCAAATTTTTAATATGGTTATGTTTTCTTATTTTTCATATTCATTCAATATATTCATTATGAATTTATTCATTCATTACGAGTTATTTTATGATTCATTTATGATTTTATTACATTATATCCATATTACTGTCTTATGTTATTCATTTACCGTTACTCGAGTATTATTCATTTATATTCATTATTTTGTTTAATTCCAGTCATACTCATATTCCATTGACATAGTATTTTTCTTTCTCGCATTTGACATTTAAAAGGTTTGACTAAATATATATGAATATATTTTATTTTCTTTCATTTGACACATAAAAGATACATTTTGTTATGCTTAAGTGATGTTTGAATAGGATGTTGGAAACTTATTCTCTGCAAAAAAAATGTATATGCAAGGATGTATTAAGTGTTCTATTCCAAGAGCTGGTGGTTGTTGCAAAGTGATATTTGAAGATTGTAAGCTCTGCTGTTTTTGCTCAAAAGATGTAAAACCACAACCCATGTCTCTATTCTTATCTGACTTCTACCTACACAGGACATGTAACCGTGACCTAGTCCTGAACTTAATTCAGCTTAGGTAGTGGAACAGCTGGTAAGACATAATGGATAAAACTGTTTGACATTTATCGATCAGACACAGGGGCGTCATGCACTCATTATTTTTGAGGGGGCAGGAGTTGGGGGAGGGGGGCGTCGTCATGTGACACACAGCAGCCACAACAGCACTTATGTTTTATTTATTTTTTCCTTTTTATTTGAAACATCCCCAAACGCATTAACTGTATCATGAAATATCTTGATTCTCACCTTTATAGATTATGCTGATCTATAGTGGGCGATGGTCAAAGTAACCTAATAATGTAATCTAGTAACTATGCATAAAAACCTGTCTGTTTACTTAATTAACAGATATGGGTGACATTCAATAACATTTTTAATACGACTGAGTTTATATTTAATGTGAATAAAAACATTGCAAGTTAGGCTACTAATCATAACATTTTCATTGTACAGAAAGAGAGCAAAGAACATTTACATTATCAAAGAACATTTTCACTGACAGTCTAGAGTTCAAGCACTCTCAAAAACTCCCATTAAAATAACTGAAGCTGTTTAAACTATGAAATTAATATCTTACAGATTTGTACACACATTTGCACTTTGTTGTTTCTGACGAGAGAATTCGCCAGAAAGAGGTATTCAGGCAGCGAGCGAGTGAAGAAAACACCAGCATTTTAGCGATGACTCATCTGAACACCTCTGATTGGTCATTGCATTCAGAAGCTCAACAGCATCGTGTGTGATTGGTTAATGCGCAATGCTGTAAAAACCAGCGAACGCAGATTTGAATTTAGCAGCTGATGATATGACGCGCTGAAC